ACCATGCCACGTTCAAAGGCACTCAAATCACCTTTCTTCCCCATACTGATGCTCGGTTTGAACTGCAGGCATGTGATTGGCTGATTAGAAATTAAGTGTTAACGAGCAGTTGGACAGGTGTACCTAATAAAGTGGCCGGTGAGTGTATGTTTTTAATCAACACAGCACGTGCCCATATCACTGCATCAAATGATTCACCTCTACTGGAACAAATTTCATTCTCACCGTGTTTTCGTCCTCTGCTTTGTAGAGAAGCAGCTGATACTGCAGACTTTTCACCAGGTAGGTGGAAGAATTGTAGTCCTCGTAGGTGCTCCTCCAGGTGAAGTGGACTTGGCTTGAGTTGTGGCCGACTGCGAGGCAGCACGGTGTGTTGGGTTTAACTGAACCGAGGGTAGATTTGGGTATAAAAAGTTAACGATTGTTAATGCAGACGTCTGCTCTAAGAATCCAGCTGTAAATTAAACTAAGAAATGCTGAATGACTTTGCTAAAACTGGCCAAAGAAGCTGACATTAAGTTGTTGAAATGAAAAGGAGAGCATTAGCTAAAAAGATCGAAACGCTAGAAAATACAGAAGACCAGGTTAAAAGCTGTAAATGAGAGCGAGAAGCTAAAAGAMGTAAATCACCAGTGTGTAGAATCAATCGCCTTGCTTACTGTTCAACTGGGGACTGTAATCTTCATCCAGCACCTCACAGCTTTCAGAGCCGTCGTCTCGGCTCTGACACAGTGAGATTTCATACTCGTCCATATCTGTAAATATATCAACATCGGGCGTTTCATCCAGTTTGTTSATGGAGCAGAAATAACTGCCTGTGGTGTGTGTCAGCAGACACTTGTACTCCAGTCTGAGGAGAGGAGAAACAAGAATGAGACCTGAGATGATGATGATGAAAATAAACCACATTTAATAAGTAAAAACAGGCCTCACTCATCATTCGTTTCTCTGATTTTGAGCCAGTATTTGTTGCTGACTGAAGTGTTTTCTGACGGGATGATGTTCAGGGAGCAGTTCATGGTGTACAGATAATTGTTGACACATTGAAGATGGTGATCCACACCTGGGAGAAAAAAAACATTTGTTTTTTGTTTTTGATTTATCTGATTGTAGGATGGAGTGAAAGCTGGATTGACAGATCAAGGCTTCATCCTTAGTAATGAGGGCGTTGTTTTGGTCAGTCGTAGTGAAGAAAGAGTTGAGTCGGAAGGCAAAGCTCTCAATTTACTGGTCTGTATGTTTTAACTCTCACCTGTGGTCATGAGAGGAATAAGATCCTGGATACAAGTGGCCAATAGAGCTTCTTTCATAGGGTGATCCAGTTCAGACTGAGGGAACTCGAAGTAGAGCAGCTGCTCCTTCATATCAAAGGGAGGTGGTTGAGCTGGTTAGGGGATCTGAAGATGTCTCCTGAACCGCTCCCTTTAGAGCAGGGRTGTCAAACAGATTTTTACAGGGGGCCACTTGAACATTATAGTGGCCCCCTCAATGGGACAATTGTAATTAACTTTGRCGTTCCTCGTCTCGTTAYGGCTGAGCATCACTAACGAACAATAAGGTACTTCCTGCATAGAAACAAGTCTTTAAACAATGAAAAAWWWTGTGTACRACTGACTAAATGTGAAATAAATAAGTAAAAGGTGCTTTTTTTAGATGGTTTTATTCCTTGTTGAGTAGCTGCCATCTTGAATTCTGAACTCTCCCACTACCAACCAGGGAATTCCTACTGTCTAAATTTAAATTTACGACTTATAAGCGGGAAATTCCCACGTCCCAGTACAACTGGGCTGCAGGAAAAGTAGCCAGAAAAAAAAATGCAGTGAAATTTTACACAGCTAATTTCACCAGCTAACTTTGAACCGCTGTGCACCTCCACCCAGTGGTGGGATGCCGTCATTTTGTGGGTAAAATAATCAACATGATAGATGTGGTGGAATATGGAAGATGAAGTTTGTGGTCAATGCTGGCTTTAGAAGAACATATGCTTATTTTAAGACAATGCATCTTTGAAGCTCTCRCGGGCCACATAAAATGCCTTGGCGGGCCATATTTGGCCCATGGGCCTTCAGTTTAACACATGTTTTAGTATTTTTTTAGGCAAATTTCACTGAGAAAAGACGCCAAGACAGACCTAGAACTTGCTGGAGGGATTATACGTATATCTCTGACCTGGGAACACCATGGGATCCCCCAGGAGCTGGAATGTCTCTGAGGAGAGGGATGTCTGGGTGTCCCWCCTGGACCTGTTCCCTCCGCGACCCGACTTCAGATAAGAGGTAGAAGATGGAGAATTTTGTGGACTAAGATTTATATTTTTTCTATTCAATAACAAGCCCACCTGTGAACAGGTGCATCACAATTCTTAGTATCTTTACTGGAAATATTGAGTCCGAATGTCAGCAAATTCACACAACCAATAGAATCAATTGATATCCCATTAAAATGCAGGCAAAACTGCAGGAAATGTCGTATTTTTAGCTGTTTATTTATTTTTAGCTGTTTATTTATCTTGCATTCACACCTCCTGCATTTCTGCTTGGTACAATGTACATCTGCACAGTACATTGAAATGTATCACTATTGCAAAGGAGACAAATTCCAAACTAAAAAGATGTATTTTTCCTCTAAATATCCTCAGAGTTGTAACCATATATGTGGGGTTTTATTTAACATTGTTGCAACCGCATGTTTTCCTAATATGGTGCATGAATCTTGTACAGTATATTATATTATTATAATATTAGTGCAATGGATTTATTTTTGTTTTAGTGGTTAAATTTTCCTTTATTTGCTTATAGGTGATTTTCTTTCTTGCAAGTTATCTTCCTCTATTACAAAATAAATAGCTGAATGAATTTGTTTAAACTACAAACCCCAAAACCAGAAAAGTTGGCACGTTGTGTAAATCSTAAATAAAAACAAAATACAATGACTTGCAAATCTTTTTCAACCCATATTCA